CTGACCACCATCTGCTCACTGAGCCTTATGACAAGGATAAGTAGTGAAGATTAGAACTTGAAATTCTTGGGCACCCTTTCACATAGGGATGTATCTCTCTGGACTGGAGAGTTAGGGCTGAGTATATTCAGAAATACTCCAGAGATAATGAGGAGTTGTTTTTTTTTGTTTGTTTGTTTTTTTAAACAAAGTTTAAAGGACAAATCTGGAAGACAGGTAGGTATCGCCCTGATCTTATGCCCTGTACCACTCAGCCTGCTCCGTGCCCTTTCTTACTGTCTAACTGATCACCAGGTAAGGATTGCTATTTCCCTGACGTGGCTTGTTGGTGGTAATGAGAAGAAATTAGTAAGGAAAAAGAGGAGGTGGCAGAAAATGCATCTGTTTTCTTTTATCTGGGCTTATTTGATTCCCTTAATCTTGAGCTAAGTGACCTGTGACCTCTCGGTGCTGCCGCTGGTGTAAGTGCCATTATCGGCACAGGGATTCTCTACCACGTGCTTAGACAACATTCACTAGAAAGTGGAGACCCTTTCATGGGTGAGCATTAGCGGTCCTTCCAAGGAGTACTATAGGTAGTCTGACCAATATTTGTTAGGAATTGTATTTCTTTTTGTGATGTCTTTAGGCATAGTATAGACCAGTGATTTTCAATCCTTTTTTTTATCTCATGGCATATCAAACCTATAGTTAAATTTTTGCTGCACACTTAAATTATGTTAATTAGAAAAAATAGTTAAAAAAAGAATATACTTACTGTGCTTTGAACATCTTTCAAAAATAATTATCTTTAAAAATTTTCATGGCACACTTCAGATTTGGCACACCAGTTGAAAATCATTCGTGTGGTCCCTGTATAAGATCTGGAGTAAAAAAAGGAACACATGTTTAAAGGGCAAATGTGGCCACTTTATAATACTTAGTCAGGGACTGAGGGCACAGAGAGCCCTTCCTGCTAGCCTGGCATAGAACTGTGATTGTGGAGGCCTTTGTGAGCTTCTCTTAAAGCAAAACCCCAGGGATTCTCTGGCTTCAAATGCTTCTAAATAGAGAAGAGGGAGTTCAACCCGATTGAGAACTAATTAATCAAATGAATTCCTCTTTCGAGGAAGCTTTTAAACATTATAAATTTCATCCCCTACTTTCCTGCCAACACACATATAGAAACATATGATAATCATTGTACTTGTATTATCTTTTTTAAGGAGAAAATGAGTAAGGAAAGATAATTTAACTTCAGTGACATTTGTAAATGAAGTATATTGAATGAATCATCAATAGTACACATAAATATTTGAAAAATAGCAACATGTGAGTGGGTGAATGCATGTGTATGTGTATAAGACATTATTCAGCTAAACCAATGCTTAATAAATATTTGGGGTTTGGGGGGGTTTATTTGAGATAGTCTCACTCTGTTGTCCTCTATAGGGTGTTGTGGCATCACAGCAACCTCAAACTCTTGGGCTTAAGCAATTCTCTTGCCTCAGCCTCCCAAGTAGCTGGGACAACAGGCGCCCACCACAATGCCTAGCTATTTTTATTGTTGTTATTGTTGTAGTTGTCCTTGTTTAGCAGGCCCGGGCTGGGTTAGAACAAACCTGCTAGCCCAGGTGTATGTGGCTGGCACCCTAACCACTGAGCTATGGGCACTGAGCCAACTATTTGGGTTCTTAAAACTCTTACGATAGACTGAATAACTGGAATAAATTTACCTGTCCGTCACTGAAGAATGTACATAGTATACAAGTAAATTGTGGTATATGTCCCTTGAAAGTACTATCGTTATTACACAGCACAAAATCAAAGGGAGGACTAGAAGCTTATAAAGGTGTAACGGTAAGCAGTAGTTACATCCCAAATGAACACACTGGAAGTACCTACAGAATGTCTGTATGTTCTGTTTTACATACTGTTGAAGGTGAAATAATACTTGCCTTTAGGGTCCCATCCATACAAAGGTGATAAAAAATATAGAGGAAGGCCAGGGAATGCTAAGTAGCGTATCTAGGAGAATGGCCGTTCCTGGACAGATGGGAGAGTGCTGCGGAGGGAGTGGGGCCCATCAGTAGTTGTGCCTACAATGAGATTGTCTGATTTCCTAAGCTAGCTGGGGGAAACATCTATGTCTGTCTGAGTATTTATATACCATTTTATAGATCTGCAAAAAAATTATAATTTGGGATACTAAGAAGATAGAGCGGGGCGGCGCCTGTGGCTCAAAGGAGTAAGGCGCTGGCCCCATATGCCAGAGGTAGCGGGTTCAAACCCAGCCCTGGCCAAAAAAAAAAGAAGATAGAGCTACAACTTGTTAATGTAACGGGAAACATATATTAATATGTATAGTACCTAAATCCAAAACAGTGTTATAGCAATATTTTTAAAGGTATATATATTTGGGAAAAAAAATCTCATTGCAAGTTTACTTAAATCTGTACAGAACTTTTTATTGATGTGCTCAGTAGTATCTTGCCAGCTGTTTGAATGGAACCATGTTAACTAATTTATTTCACAATTCAGTCAGACTAAGAAGATGGTGATATGATCAAATTTCCAATATTAAAGATCGCTAAGGATGAGCTGTGATCCAGGCCATGAGGAAGAAAAAAGATGGCTAAGGAATTTGGATATGTTTTCTCTTCCTTTGGAGATAGTTCTTTTCCTTAAGAGGGTTTTTATTGTTTTTATAATAAAAAATGCCTCATTTTAAAAAAAGAATTTAGAATTTAGAAAAGAACATTCTCTAGGGAAATAGATTAGGTAATAGAAATGAAAATACATAAATTGCAGTTAAGCTCTAGTTTTTAAACTTACCCTAAAGTCTATAAAAAAAATTAGTTCAATGTTTTCATTACTAGTAATCCCTCTGAGACGGTAAACAGTTGGCACTGTCTACATCAGAGGTTCTCAGACTTTCTTGGTATCTCAGTAAAGGGATAGTACTTCCTATTCCTTAACGTCACAGTGAATTTTTATGGCACTTCTGGGCTAAAAGAAATTACCTAATAGTTCAATTTAAGTAGTCAGATCTCAGCAGCCACTCCAAGTCCAGTTTTGCAAAGACGGGATAGCCTAGAAGAAAATGTAGCACACTCTGATGTGAAACTGTGAACTGCCTTGAGCTAGTAGTTTTCGGTGTCTAGCAGATGTTGATTATTGCTATTTCCCCTGAAAATTTAAAATACTTCATAGCATCCCTGTGATTTTACTGCAGCATCCTGCAGACCTTGATAAATTGTGTCCCTCCTCCAATACACTCCTTACTAAGGAGGGCTCTCTCTGCATTCACTCATTCACTGGCATTTTTGGTGGTCTCTTTTCATTGCAGGAGAAGCCGTACAAGTGCTCAGAGTGCAGCAAAGCTTTCAGCCAGAAGCGCGGGCTGGATGAGCACAAGAGGACGCACACTGGAGAGAAGCCCTTTCAGTGCGATGTGAGTTTGGATTCTCTTTTCTTTCCATAGTGTTCTCAATAACAGGAGGTGTGTTTGTGTATGTTTATGTATGTGTGTGCATTCGTGTGTGTGTATGGTGATGGTCTGTGCCTGGTAATGTCTTGTGCTGTTCGTAGATTTTGGTTGCATGATCCATAGAACCACATTTTAGGCATATTAACTCATCTTGGTTGAATGGTAGCAAATAAAGTCTGATTTTTTTTTCAATGAAAAACTCTGATTTTCTATAAGACATAATACACCCTGTATTAATGCCATTGAGTTGTTCTAGATATAAATGTGTGATCCTTTTTGTTCTTTTCTTTTTATCTTCTACAACAGTCATCTTAGAATACAGTAAGCTTTGAAGCAACTTTCATGTATCTGCCCAAATCTTTGATAGGTTCATGCCAGTTAAACCAGACATTTGGCTAGTCAAGGTATTTACTTTGTTAAAGCCAAACCCTGAATTTCCAAAATACATGTGGACTCCTTCTTTGATAAATAGTGCTATTGCTGTTTAGTTTTTCTGCATGTGACCCTTGAATTGAAATGGAATTATTCGACATAGCTGATTACTTTATTCATGATAGGAAAAATACTATTGTTGTCAATAAAATGAATCTTAGCAGTGATCAATTTAGTGAAAAAAAATGAGTTTCTCAGCAATACTGTTCTTTTGTGTGGGATTGGCAATTAACAGAGTCGACACAGATGCTAGGGAATTGGCGTAAGAAGAAACATTAAAGTTGTAATGTGTGAAATTACACGGGATAGAATTCTACTTAAATCTTGAAGGAAAGTCAGGAACTTAATTCCATCACCATCAGCATGTCCCAGTGGATAAAGCCTGGGGCAATCAATCCGTACGAAGGGGAACTTACAGACACAAGATGTTTTCCTTGTCCTTCCATGAAACTTCAGTGGTAGGGTTAATGCAAGAAAGTACTCCCAGTGGGCCTGCTCATAAAAATACCTGTATCAGCAGTGAACTTCTTTAAGGAAAGAACCACTCGGAGAGGAAGAAATGTACACACATAAAGCTGTGCACTCAGCAGGATCAGCCTCCTTAGCGCAAATAATTTCAGTTGGTTTAATTTATTGCTGCTTTTATTGGGAACATTTTCATTAAGACAAAACCTACATAGATAATTTAATTGTACAAGTTATATAAATAACTGGTATTTAACAGACATTAAATATTAGTTCTGCATGGTCATCTTCCTACCATCATGCCCAACCCATCTTTCGTTTATGCTGTATGTTTTTGTTGAATATTTCTGCAGGTAAATTGAATCATTATGTTATTTTTTTAAGACCACAAAGTGATAAGCACAGTCTTTTTTCTGTCTGCTTCTATCCCATTTGCTTCTATGATATATGTTCAAACCTCTCCCATCTTCATTTGCAACCTGTACTGATCTGTTGAGTAGAGATCCATGTTTCTAAGTGCCTCTTAAACTTCTCTGAAAGGCACCTTGCTCATTGGAGAACTGTCTGTTTTACTGCAAAATCTTGTCCTCTAGCCTACTCATTGTGGATAGAAGTCATCCTCCTCCCCTCTCACCAACTTTCTCCCATTTAAAGAGCTCTCAGATCCATTACTTCCCCTCAGTTTTCATTCCTACTGAGGACCCTCACTGTTTCTTATTATAGCCACCCTGTCATCCTGCCAAGAAAATGTGTTTATTTTTTTTTAATTGAGGTAAAATGCCCATAACATCAAAATTAATCATTTTAAAGCGAACAGTTTAGTGACTGTATATTGACAATGTTGTTTAACTGCTACCGCTATCTGGCTCTAAAACATTTTCATCACCCCCAAATAAAACTCTAACCCATTAAACAGTCACTTTGTCCTCCAGATGCTGGCAACTGCCAATCTGCTTTCACTTCTGTAGATTTACCTGTTCTGGCTATTTCATATAGATGAACCATATAATACATGACCATTTATGACTAGCTGCTTTCATTTAGCATCATGCTTTCAAGGTTCACACACATTAGCCTGTCATTCCATTGCATTATATATCACAGTTGGTTCATCCATTCATTCATTGATGGACACTTGGGTGGTTTCTGTCTTTTGGCTATTATGAATAGTGCTTGGTGAACATGGTACACAAGTATTTGTTTGAGTTCCTGTCTTCAGTTCTTGAGCGTTTATACCGAAGAATGCTTGGAATTGCTGAGCCAAATGGTGATTTTGTGTTTGCCTTCTTAGGGAACTGCCTGTTTTCCACGGGAACTGCATGATTTTATATTTCTATCAGTAGTGCATGAGGATTACAGTTTCTTTCCATATTTGCCAACACTTGTTGTTTTCTTTTTTTTTCTTTTAAATATAGCCATCATGCGGATGGGAAATAACCTCATTGTAGTTTTGATTCACATTCCTCTAAGAACAGTGATGCTGAGCATCTTTCCGTGTGCTTTTTGGCCATTTGTATGTCTTTTCTGGAGAAATGTCTATTCAACTATTTTGCCCTTTTTAAAATTGCATTGTCTGCCTTTTTGTTATGAGATATATATATGTGTGTGTGTGTGTGTGTATAGAATAGTAGACCCTTACCAGAGATGTGATATCCAAGTATCTTTTTCTATTCTGTAGGTTTTCTTTTCATTTTCTTGATAATTTCCTTTGATGCATGAAAGTTGTAATGTCAATGAAGTCCATTTTACTTTTTTTTTTTTATTTGATTATGCTTTCTCTGAAAATGCGCTGCCAAATTCAAGGTCATGAAGATTTTTTCTTTTGTTTTTTGTCCTAAGAATTTTATAGTTTTAGCTCTTATCTTTAGGTCTTTGATCCATTTAGAGTAGGGGGATCCATTCTTTTGTCTTCTTTTTCAGTCTTCCATCCTTGAACATGGTGTTAGTTGTGGAGTTTTTCATAATACCCTTTATATGTTGAGGAATTCCCTTTCCCCTTCTCTGCTGATTTTCTGTTTTGTTTTTAATCAAGGTAGGGAATTAGATTTTTATCAAATGCCTTTTCTGTATCAATTGAGATGGCTTTGTGTTTTTTCCATTGTTTTACTAATCCTTTTAATATACTTTTAGATTCAGCTTTTAGTCTTTGGGTTATTTTGTTTGAGGATTTTTGTATTGAGATTTATAAAAGATACTGGTCTGTAGCTTTCTTTCTTTGTAATATCTTTGTCTGGCTTTGGTATCAAGAGCCATGCTATCCTTACAGAATGAGTTTGAAAGTCTTCCCTCCTTACTTATCTTTTTTTAGGAGAGTTAGAGAAGGATTGATGTTCATTCTTCTTTCAATATTTGGAAGAATTCATCAGTGAAGCCATTTGATCCCGAACTTTCCTTTGTTGAGATTTCTTTTATTTAATTCAATGTCTTTGTTTACTATAGGTCTGCTGAGTTTTTTTTTTTTTTTTTTTTTTTTAATTTCTTCTTGAAGCAGTTTTGGTAGTTCGTGAGTTTCTAGGAATTTATTCATTTCATCTAGGTTATCTAATTCATTGGCATACAATTGTTCTCATATATATATATATATATCTATCTCAGTTCTTAACAATTTTGTTCAAATGCCACTTCTCTCATCAACAGGACTTTAACCCCAAGGACCCATCATCCTATGCCTTGCAACTTCCCCAGCATGCCTCTCTATTTAACTTTAAGTGCTTACAGCTAATGTCCAGATGGTGGTGACTGAAATCCGTCTACTGCCCAGATCTCTCTTCTGATCTTTTAGGCAGACATCTTGAGTTGCCCATAGGACTTTACGCCCTTATTCCGAACTGAAATAATGGTCTCTCCCGTCTTCTGAATCTTTTGCCATGACCTCTTCAGTTGTTTATCTTTCAGAAAACTCTACCCATTTCAAGATAACCCAGACATCACATCTGACCCTCACATTAGACACCTCCTTTTCTCCAAACCATGAATAATAGCCATCATCTAGTTAAATTCCTATTGAGGGAAAAAACGCAGAAACCCATGGTTTGCATTTATCATCTGTGTTCTTCACTATAACCCAGGATTATATAGGTATTATTATACTATTTTGCTGTATTTGGGACAATTAAGACTCATGGAAGTTGAGTTACCCACTTGTTGTCCACAGCTTATAACTGGCCAAGTCAGGATTCTGGAGTTCAAACCCAGGCCTTTTTAAGTGCATAATCACACAGCTTCCATTCTGTCCCGTTCCTGCCTTTTCTTATTTCTCAAGCCTATCACTATCTCTGAATTCCTAATTAAGGAATTTTATATTCTTGCTGCAATTTCATATTCTCCAGCTTGTTGACTAAATGATACTTTAGTCTCTATTTAGAATCCATTGATGACTTACTGCCACTTACAGAATATACTTCTACTTTCTTATTACAATGATGAGACTCACCAAGGTTTGTTTCCAACCTTGAACTCTAACTTCTTTTTAATGTATTTCCCTAATGATGTCTAATCTTCAGCTAGGGGAACTGTTTTCACTTCCCCAGTGGAGGCATGTTCTTCACACCCTCAGTACCTCTGCGTATCCTCTTCCCTCTCCCTGGAATATTATTGCCCATTTTAGGACATGATGAAGCCCTGTGTATGCTTCCAGATCCAGGTCTTAGCCACTCCCTCTTCTCTCCAGGCCGCTGATAGTACTGCTCTGTGCCTCTCCCAGTGCAGTGTTCGTAGTATTTCAGATTACTCCTTACACTGTGGACTCCCCAAGGGCAATGCAGGGTGTTCTTTGCCATTTTGTTTCTAGCCAAAGTGATAGGCACATTTTATATGATAAGTATTTGTTAACTGAAAATGTGTATACAGATTTCTAATTCCTATCTATGAAGGTACTTCTGTTAAATTGCTTGTTTCATTTTATTTTAAAACGAAATCAGCTTGCCTTCAGCCTATAGCAAGAATAAATGTTTTTCCATTTTTCCACATGTGAATTAATACTCAGTTGGAATAGGGTGAAGGATTGGATAAGAATTGCAGGTGGAAAGAAAGAAAAGGAAGCATCCCAGTTGTACTGTTTGAACTCT